CCATCTGCGCATTGAAACATTTCTTCCTACGGCGTTCGTGGTACCGCTTGCCGGTAAGCTTGGTGACAAGCGTTCAGTGGTATTGAAACTTACCCATACTTCCTCACCAAAACAGCATCCGCACTCTATACCACTCCCATTCGCGATAGCATCTTCGTGGGCTAGTCTCTTGGCCTCCGCTTCGTCCTCGTCACAACGTACTTTCGCTGGAGTTAACGGAAAGTTTCAAGTTTACATCAGCTTGCTTGCACTCAAGGCATCGGGAATGTCCATCCGCTGACCTTTAGCGGCCTGTAACCAGGCCAATTCAGCCTCAAACGCTGCCAAACCAGCATTAACAGCCAGATTCGAGCATCCGGGCTGCGCCGCCTGACTGCTATTGGCGCTCCTGCTCTTGCCTTTACCTCGCGCTCTGGGTCGCTTGAGTTCGGTGTACGACTTGGCCTGTTTCTTCACCTCGTCCTGTAACCAGTAATAAGCTGGTACGTACATGTACCCGTTGCCATAGAAAGCAGTGCGGATGCTGTAGAGCCATGTCAGCACTCTGTTGCCTCCAGCAAGGCTATGGTAGATGACTCACAACGGTAACGGTATTCTCGGGAAATCCGCTTCTAGCTGCTGTACGCTGTTCTCGAAGTAAGTCGACCCCACCCTTGTATCCTTTCTATATTGTATGCTTTTATATTCCTCGGCAGCACCTTCCACAGCGGGCTCACCCTCCTTCTCCTTCGATTTGCCCTTGTCCTTCGCTTTCGGGTAGCCTCCTTCCATTTCAAACGCCATCTCAATCACCCTATTTGATGCGTTGTCCCGTCTCCCTGCAGCAATCTCACCTTCGATGGTATCCAAAACCCAACTGATATCGACATCGGGAAGAACATCCAGCACGACGGCGAGAGGGTCGTCCTGTACAGATCTGTCTGGCGAAGGGTCTGCCGCATCCGACACAGGAGGGACCGAGGCCCCTGTAATGGGTTGATTCTTTGGCGGAGGGGGTTGTACGGCAGGAGTATTGCGTTTTGGACACTTGAGATCCCTCCTGCTCTTGTCGCTTCGAAGTGGGCGACTATTGCCGTCTAGCTCTTTCCTCGACCTCTTGCGTAAGACTCCGTGAGATGGCCCCGGTTCATCCGGAAGCTCGTCGTTGTCGCTTGATGTCTCGGGCCTTGTCGGGTTTGCAGCAGGCTCGTCAGCCGGAAATAGAGGAACATCTTCTTCTTCATCATCTTCTTCTTCATTATCTTCATTATCTCCATTATCTTCATTATCCTCATTATCTGAGGATTCGACGATAATCGGATTGAGTTTGTTTGTGTTACGTTTCAGATACTCGGGAGGTTCATCGTATGCCTGTACCGATGAGTCGCTTTGTATCCCCGGATCATCTTCATCCTCGTTTTCATCCGCTGAGTGGTATGATCCCGGAGGAAGGTCGGCGAATACTTGAATGTCGAGAAGGGACGAGCGCGAGCGGCGACTCTGCTCGAAGTTCGAAGGCAGGGAAGCCACGAAAGTTAGCAAGGCCTTCCTTATGTTTTGAGAATGTAGTAAGAGCTCACGGCTGAGGAAGGCATCACCGCCAGGTTTCCCACGAGCCAGGCGGCTCAGCGCTGCGGCCCAATCAGTCGAGTTTGATGCCTCAATAGCTGACAGAAAGTGTGCGTGGGTGTCCCGCGATCGGTCAGGTGTCCTGATGCTCAATGTATTCCTAATTCTCGAAGTGTATTCATGCTTGTAACAATCACAAGAAGAGGAGTGAATCTAGAGATGATGAAGGCAAAGTATGGTGCATATAAATTAGGGCAATGCAGCGCACGGGTCAACAACAATAACATATACCCGGATTAGCTTGAATTGATTAGCTTGCGCTCGTTTGACTGTGCTAATCGATAATCGATATTCAGATATCCACGTGGGATTCACATGAGGAAGAGCCAGGTTATACGTAATCAATACACCTTGGGTCGATGAACGCGCGTTGACGATGCATATGCAGGTATGGATGCATTCCATGTCAACGATGACTCTTCAGCTTAAAGTGACATTGTATTCGTATTCACCTATATAGATCATACCTGCATCGTCTGTCCTTCCTCCATCATTTTCCCTCAATTACTTTGTCAGAAAACTGTCAGCGCAAGTGAGCCTCCGTCAAGATGTTCATGACAAGGTAAGCTGACCAGGAGCATCGCCAGAAGTGGCCATATCTGGACTTGCCATCATACCGTCATACCGTCATACCGTCCTACCATTATATCTTCCTGCACAAACCCATTCACGGACCACTAATCTCGCTGTCGCTTCCTCCAGATCCGAGTATGACCGAGGTGTCAACACCTTCTCCCCAGAGGTAAGCTAGAAGAGCAATTTCCCTTTGCTCTTGGGTTAAGCTAACGCCGCTCTTTTAGGGTCGATTGTTCCAAGGTACGCCCAAGATGACACGGCCGTAAAGGATAGAATGAGGAATGCTGATATGAAGGTGACTTGAATATGCAATCAGTCGAATATGCTATGGAGGCTATCAAGGTGAGATGCTTCAGTGTTTTTTTCCACCTGCAATACCCCGGTGGACGTAGTTCAGCTGACTCTCATACCTTTTAAACAGCTTGGTTCGACGACAGTCGGAATCACCACCCCTCACGGTGTTGTCTTAGCAGTCGAGAAACGAGTGCCATCTCCTCTGCTCGAATCCTCTTCGATCGAGAAGATCATGGAGATTGACTCGCACATTGGTTGTGCGATGTCTGGATTAACGGCGGACGCTAGGACGATGGTAGAGCATGCGCGAGTAACCAGTCAGATGCACAACTTCACATACGATGAAAGGATCGGGGTAGAAAGTTGTACGCAGGCAGTGTGTGACTTGGCGCTCAGGTTCGGAGAGAGTGTAGAGGATGACGACGCGTTGATGGTGAGTAACAAAGCTACAGCTGGAAGTTATCTCTTGAAAGGGATGTGTTTACTGACCACTGTGCTTCCCGCCTTAGTCTCGACCGTTCGGTGTTGCTTTGCTCATTGCCGGTATCGACGAGAAGGGACCTCAATTGTGAGCTCATCTCTTGAAGTTCACATTCCCCCTCTGATATCCTCGCAGAACGAGCGTCAAAGCTCATCCACTTTTTGCTGCTCTTACGTAGATATCACACCGATCCATCTGGTACTTTCGTGCGATACGACGCCAAGGCCATCGGATCAGGATCTGACGCCGCCCAGCAAAGTCTGCAAGACGCTTTCCACAAGGTGAGTGATGTGATCCAGAAGTAGCCGTGCATGATTGATATGTGCTAAGTCATGAGGAATTGATTATATCACAGCAAATGACTCTTCTGGAAGCGCACAGCCTTGCGTTGAAGGTGTTGAAGCAGGTCATGGAGGAAAAGTTGGATGAGAACAATGTCCAGCTCGCTCAGGTGAGTTGACGCATACACGATTCTGCAGAGTCTAGCTTATGATACATGTATCACCAGGTAACGAAAGAGAAAGGATTCGAGATTCTCGGTGAGAAAGAGCTGAAGGAGGTGATTGAGACTCTTGCGGCTTAGGACCAGAGTATATAGAAGGCACATTTGAGAAACCGTGTAGATAGCATGCATGTGTGTAGCAATCGCTGTCCGCGCACTGAACCCCTTGGTAGGTATTGATGACGATGTCGAGTATGACTGTGCACTGCAGGATATTTTTTATAAACGCATTGATTCAAGGACGCAGGCTCCGGAACCACCTCTGATGTAGGGCTGCACGTCATGCTGTAACGTCGATTGCCCTTGAGTAACTTGGTACGTGCGATGTCAGATGAGGTAGCGGGCGCGGCAGGGCGTCGCTTCCTCGGACTACACGATGTGTAAATACTGCATCACGGCTTAAAGACCTTGATATTCGCCCAACTCCATCCAGCTGCTCTCTCCCAAACCCCTCCCATCCCTTTCTTCTTAGCATCTTCACTCACTTTCTCCTGCGCACCTGGATCTCTCAATTCCAGCATCATCCCCACTTTGACCGTCTCTATTTGTAGTCCGTCCGTTTTCTTTTGCTCCTCTCCATCCTTGGAAGCTGTACGTTGCTGTCCATTTGAAACGAGGCCCACAGCTGACCATTCTAGCCATACGCCCGTCCATCCTCCGGATCCCTTTCGGCTCGGTTCCCCAAGACAGCTGACAAATTGTCTTCCTGTCGTCTCGGCGTCCAAACTGAAATATGTGGGTCGCGGTATCGATTTTGATTCTTCGCCCTTCTTGAGCGGAGGAAGGCTGAGGGTATCCGTTGGAAAGTCCATCGACACTTGCGGAGGAGGCGCATAAGTTGGTTCGGGCTTGCGACCTGGCATGGATGGCTTGGGATACGGAGAAGGGTTGAAGATATCTACGCTGTCTAATCCGTTATTCTTCGATGGGTCAAAGAACAGCGAGAGACCGAGAGAATAGTAGTTGTGATACACCGCATCGGGGTATGTCTTGATCTCCGGTTCTGGCAATGGCGCAGCTGATGAAGCGGAGGAAGAGGTTGATATCATGGTGGAGAGAAAGGCCGTTATTTCGGGGGAAGAAGGTGGTAGACCGAAGAGCGGAGCGAAAGAGGCCAGGTTCAGAGACGACATTATGGGGTCTGTTGCTTCGTGCAGCGGATATCTTGCCTGCGGGTGAGCACTCGAATGTATTTGTTTGGATGAATCTTGGTATGAGTGGTTACAAACAGATAAACAGATAGTCGAACTTGAGATGGAGGGACATACCAATTCAACGGGATGATGCGATGCGATTTCTTCAGTTGATCAGGCACAAATGTCAAAACACCCGCGCGCAAGGTGCGGTGGATACAGGCAGGAACTCCATTCCATTCTACAGTGCATATCTTCCCTGATCCATTGTTTAACTTACATTGTGACATGCGTTTGTACATGATTCATGATTCATTCATTCTATACCATATGAGTCGAGTTATTGTTCTCACCGAATGGCAGAGGATACCGACCGTCTTCTGCAGGACGCCAACCTTCACCCAAAAACGTCAGCACCCGGGACTCCCATCTGGTCCCCCACGATGGTACTAACCGAGCGATATCGAGCTTCAAGCTGCCCAGAGCAGACGGGATGGGGCGTTTTCTCGATTCTATGGCCGACGATGGAAACAAGGACTATCGAACACTTATTATTCATTAGTCTTTGATCGACGAACTAACCAGTAATCGATCTTGCCCTCATCTCAATCTGGCGAAACCTAGACCAAAAGACGATGAATTTTTTTCCCCCTCGGAGCTGATTTCAGTAGGATCCCTGTCGTCAAGAGCAAACCCCTCTCCGGCCCAAGTCCTCCAAGACAGATATGCCAGGTCGGTCGAATAACACCTTTCAACGATGAATGGATTATCACATTATCTCGGATCTGAGATCTGAGATTGCCCATTGTCCAAGTGGATCAGCGGATTGATCCGCTCGGCTAGGGACCCGAACTTTCAATCGATTTAGACGTGAACACTGCCATGTACTTATGTTATGTGCTTACTGCCTGGAAACTCGGTCACACTGTCGGTCATCATAAGGAACCCCTGAGATCTAATACGCGTGATGAACAACCTTCAACGCGTCAGATCTGCATAGTACAATGGTAAGACTCAGGAGCTGTACGTGAAGCGATGAAAGGGCGAAAGGGGGGAATGCTCAATAATTTCATCAATGGAGCTGAATGAAAGGAATTTCAAAATGAGTGAGTCTAGAAACCGAGGCTGAGCAGCTTGGCCCTTCTCGTTTCTGTTCACTGACCCCGTCTATAAAAAAAATTAATGTCCAAGACTTGACGACTCAACTGATTACAAAGATAACACTATACTCGAGTATAATCAGCTGAGGGAACCGGCACATCCAATAATTGATAACCTAACGTAATTTCCTGGTCTCTTGTCAAGGAAGCAAGCAAACATGAAGTACTTCGCCTCATTCCTTCCTCTACTGGCTCTAGCTTCGGCGTCTTCGATTGTGAAACGTCACACAGGCGTCAGAATCCAGTCAGCTCGCAATGGTCATTGTCTCTCGCCCAAAGCGCCCGATCAACTGAACTCTACGATTGTAGCTATCGACTGTGACAGAGCGCAAGTCTGGGATATCAACCCTGGCAGCGGCAACATCGTTCTCTCTGGTACCAACAAGGCCCTCAGCACTGGCCCGGAGCCGAAGCTTAACGGCAAACTCAAGCTCGAGCAGACCTCCTCTGAGGCAATTGGTCAGACGTAAGTCCCCATCCTGTCCGTTGCCTGCCTGCCTGCCCTTGGTACTCAATATTGATGGATGAATGGATGGATGAATTGGGTGCGTGTTCTACTACAGCTGGAATTTTGTGGATGAGCATCGAATCAAGCTAGAGAAGTTTACGGATAGCGAGCAGTGTCTTGACCAAGGCAATAGTACAGAGGGCACCCAAATATACAAGTGCTATGAGGACAACGTCAATCAAGGTTTGTTAGGAACTTGCGCATCCGGCAGGTTTCACACTGCTGACCAGAGACTCTGTAATAGGATGGCGCGTCCTGCCGGCGGACGCAGGCAATGAGACGTCCACTGTAGACACCAATGTCACTCTCAGTGGTACGTCACCTGAAACAATGAGTACGATGTTTGGGCACATTTGACTAACGCTTCATTTGGATTTCTCCTACAGTCGATGAGACTTACAAATGGTTGGAAGTCTTTGCGTATAACAAGTCTCAGTATGAGGGGTCGAATTTGGCGTTGTAAGTTCGAATAGGGTTGATCATTCACGACACTTGTACTACTGTAATTCTTTCGCGATAGCAACAGTCAATGAAGCTGACCTGTGATCTTGGCTTGCGATGACGTGAAGGTCTCATTCCCTAGCGGAACCATCAGAAAGCGGTTTCGACACCCAGCGTTGGAATGTAATCCAGGGTGGTACAGGTCCAATCAAGTTAACCAGTGACGAGTCTCTGTGCATCGATGCCGGTCAGAACCCGACCGATGGAGTCCAAGTGAAAGTCGAAAGGTGCGCGGACAACGGCTCAAGCCAGACTTGGGATAACTCAAAGCCCAGGCTTCAATTGTCTGGAACCAGTAAGTTTTGATGAGCGTAGATCGATTTCTGTGTGAATTCCTAACGACCTGAGTGTTTACCTCTCAGACTGGTGCATCACAGGCAAATTCAATGATGTCACAGATGAAGTCACAGGGAAGACCTCAATTGGGCCTGCTAAAGCAGTACTCAACGAGTGTAAGGAGGAAGGCAATAATATTCATCAAGCTTTCTATGCAGGCATTCAGTAGTCTCGACACACACAACATCCGCTTCATGGTGAGGCACAGGCGAGGGCGAAGATCATAGCAAACGCTATCTCTTATATAGTTGCTGCTGGACCTTGAAGTGGATAAAAGAATGACATGGGCGGATATCAGTATACCCGTAGCGTCGATTGTATTGCGGAGATAGACCGTAGAGATACCTGTAGAACCTTTCACGTCGAGATGCGATTATCTTGTGTCGGTGCACAGTACGAGGGATTACCGATGCGGACTGACCGTGGACTGAGATACTGTGCCTTCGGATGCTTGTCAAAGACATCTGCTGTTCGCACTTTGCACCGCACTGTACTCGTACAGTTCACTGGCGATGTCTAAGTACAGTAGGTTACACACTCTGTCGAGCAATAAGCGATTCGCATACCTCGAACGAGGTCTAGGTCAGTCTATCCTCCCTACCCGAACTTTGATTTTGAGACTGTTTGTGAAAGCTTTGCGATTAATAGAGGAATTCGTACCTGGTGTTCGTCATGTCCACGTCAACTCGACGTCAACGACCTCTTTGGCGCTTTGGGCGAGAACAGGCCATACGGTGATACACATGCATATAACCGCTGACGCCATCACGGGATGTAAACTCACACATCTCCTTGCTTCGTTCCGTTCTATTCCTCTTCTCTTGCCTTCAAACGTACCGAACATTCCGTTCTATTCCTCTTCTCTTGCCTTCCAACGTACCGAACAGAAGCTATCTCAGCACTCTCAGCGCATCAGTCAAGCCATCGAACGTGAGCCAGCCCAAGTCAGCACGAAAAGTATCGCGAACTCGAGCGCAAAATCAGACGCCAATACCAGAATCCACGGAAACAGAATCCTCATAATCTAGGTTCTCACGTCTGCCCATCATGGGGATCGATGACAACAATCATGACAAGCTGGTGAATGGGATAGATGGGAAAGCGAACGAATCCGGGGACAGCATTGGTCAAGACAAGCAAAACACTAATGCTAGCGACTCCCAATCCCAATCCGATACACGAGAAGATGAAGTCTTCAACGACTCGGATGCCGATTTCACACTTGTGTCGAGCGACAGGGCCAATTTCAAGATCCACAGGCATCTTATCACCACTCACAGGTGAGAGTCAATGCTAGGAATCACCGCCTCAAAGATTTGAAGTGCAAGTGGATGACTGACTCGATTTCTGTTGACTCAGTCGAGTTCTCCGAGATATGATGGAATCAGGCATGTCAAACGACAATCGACTCGAGTTCAACGATCGTGACATTGAGACCAGTGACACGATCCGACTCTTGCTTCGATTCCTGTACCACCAACTACCTTCCCCTGGTCGAGAGATGGTAGGCGATTTCCGAAACCTGATCGAGTTTGCTCAGAAATACGATTGTGGATCTGTTCTCCTCGGGATGAAAGGTTTCATCTGGTCTTTCCTGAACGAGAACGAGAAGATTTGCGATCCCCTGGACATCTTCATCTTTGGCGCTCAAATGAACGACCCACAAATTGCGGCAGCGGCAATCACTAGAACCGGCACGTGGACCTGGGGCCGTACTGATGATAAGCGAGAGAGATGGTATAACGAGACTGAGAGGAAGATGTTTGGAAAGCAAGGCAACCTCACCGCTCTTACTGGCGGCGGTGTGATGCAAGTCGCTTGTTGGCCAATGGTCGAATTCTGTAGGGTCCCGATGCCTTACTGGCTCGCGCTTCTCAAGACCGATCAAAGACATAGCCTCAAGCCCCACCAGCAAACATACGCAGCTGCCGCTGAATACTTTCTGCATCTCATGAAGGGACAGTGATTATTCCATGTAGTTTCGTCTCGTGCAACCGGCCGGTAGGCTAATTGATCGAGCATGCGACGCAAAGTCATATGTACATGTATGCTATGAAATTTAATGACCTGATGTGAAAATGTGCGTATCAGTAGGTGGCACAGCAGAAGAGAACGATTTGACAAGAATAAATCATTCCACGATAGTCGGCTGGAGTCTGCTAACAGCTTTGTGTACTCATACTCAGCCCTCAAGGATCTTGCTTCTGAACTTGGAGAAGCAGATGATCATGATGTGGACCTCCGCGGAGAATGCCATAAGCCCGTGAAGAGCAAGTGACAAGTGATCGGGATAGAAGGCTTCTGAAACCGCATCGAGTGGGCTCAAGGGGCAATGCTGCATGCTGACGAGATGAGGGAATGAAGGGCCGATCAGAAAATCTATTACTCGAGTATGCCCAGTGATCAAAGCGTGCTATACAGTAGTAGTTCACATACATGTTGTGTTGTATACAATATCGCCGATCAACATGCAGTTGAGCTATGAAGTTGAGCCATACACCCACTACTCCCTCTTCCTTTTTTTCTTTCTCTTCTTCTTCTTTCTCTCCTCATTCAGTTGTCAGATACATGCTATCCTTCATACTACCCTTCATACTAATTCATACGACACACATTCACCGCACATCCTTCGCACAACATCACTTTGCGAGACTAGATCAATCCGTCGTCCACCTGTCGACATCAAGATGCCTGAAGAAACACCCGAACCCAAATTCGATGAGGTTTATAAAAATCCTGAAGCTGACCTCATCTTGGTCTCGAGCGATGACGTGTCTTTCAAGATCTTCAAGTATCATTTGCAAAGCTGCAGGTGAGTTCCATACCTGTTCTTTCGGAGCCTCCTGAGCTTATGCATGTCTGCTTGATATGCGTCCATCTCCCCCACCCCAACTCAGCCCTGTGTTCCGTGGCATGATAGCTGCTCTCGGTTCAGCCAACGAGAGCCTTCCCACCGTCACTTTCACCGATCCCCAAATCGAGTGCGCCGCTGTCATACGACTGTTCCTCGATATCGTTC